TGGATTCTTGGCAAAAGCAAGGCATCCTTGATTATCATACTTCATTGGAGTTGCTTTCAATTGCACAAGTCTAATGTCTTTTAAAACTTGTCTTAGCCATATTGCCTCCATTGCACCATGACTTGCTGCCATGTATTCCGCCTCCATTGTAGACCTTGCAATTGTTGGTTGTCTCTTGCAATTCCATGAAATTGCTCCCACTCCAACAAAGAAGACATATCCCATTGTTGATCTTCTATCATTTGCATCTCTAGCCCAATCCGCATCACAATATCCATGTAATGTAATACTATTACCTCCAAGGCACAATTTGAAGTTCAAAGTACCTTTAAGGTACCTCAAAATCCTCTTAATGGTTGCCCAATGAATTGGTCCAGCCTTTGACATGTATTGACTCACAACACTCACGGCATATGCAAGATCCACCCTTGTACCAACTATGGCATACACAAGTGAGCCTACTGCTACCTTGTATGGAACATCTTTCATTTTTTCTTCAACTTCAACAGATTCCTCATCCGTGAGCTTCATCAACTTCAAATTTGCCTCCAAAGGTGTTCCAATGGACTTGCACTCTTCCATGTTGAAGTGTTTCAACACTTCTTCAATGTACTTCTTTTGACTCAATGTAATGATCTTCTTAGCTTGATCTCTCACAAATTCTACTCCTAAGCAATAGTGGAGCTCTTCCAAATCACTCATTTCAAATTCTTTTGCTAACTTTGCCTTCAACCAATCCATCTTTTTTAAAGTATTGGTCAAAATGATTAAATCATCAACATAAAGAATAACAATCAGCAAGAAGGCTTTTGTTTGCATCACATACATGGAATGATCAGCTTCACTCCTCACAAATCCTTCATTCACAAAGAAGGTGTCGATACGTTGGTACTATGTCCTTGATGATTACTTCAGCCCATACAAGGATTTCTTCAACTTACACATAAGGTGTTGTTTGCCTTCTTCAACAAATCCTTGAGGTTGATCCATGTAGATGTCTACTTCCAATTCTCCATTCAATAAAGCCGTCTTTACATCCATTTGGTGCATCTTCAAGTCCATTGCTGCCCCAATTGCCACAATGATTCTAATAGTGGTGAATTTGGCCACGGGAGCAAATGCCTCATTGAAATCAATATCAACAACTTGTGAGTAGCCTTTGGCAACCAATCTTGCCTTATACCTCATAATATTGTCCATTGCATCCCTTTTGGATCTAAACACCCACTTACAACCAATTGAACCTCGATTTGGTGGAAGTTGAGTCAATTCCTATGTTTCATTGTCCATGAGTGATTTGTACTCTTCTTCCATAGCATTCTCCCACTTCATAGCATCCGTGGACTTCATTGCATCACATAAACTCAACGGATCAGCAAGAAATACAACATTGACATATTCTTTACTTACTTGAGGAAAAATATGATCCTTCTACCATTCACCATGTTGTTTTCTATCTCTCAAAGGATATCTCCTTTCATTTGAAGAAGACTCAACTTGTTGCACTCCATGGTCACCTCCAACCTTCTTTTCTTTTGAAGATAGTCTTTTTTCACTCAAAGGTTCATAATCCTCATCACCATCATCATCAACATCTTCATGCTCTTCATTGCTGGTCTTAGCAATCGTAGAGGCCTTCTTATCCACCTTCTTTGTCTCTTCATCTTCATTTCCACCTTTACAACCATCATTGACTTTGTCTTCTTCCTTCTTTGCTGAATTTGAAGATGTGTCTGCAAACACACCATTACTCCCACTTTAACACATTTTCAAGTACTCACAAGCACTCTTGTGCTCCAAAAACTCAACTTCACGACTTTTGATGATCTTTTTAGTCTCCAAACACATGAGCCTATAAGCCTTTGTACCTTCACAATATCCAACAAAAACACATTTTGTACCTTTTGCATCAAATTTTGATCTCATATAATCTGGTATCTTTGCATATGCTATGCATCCAAAGGTCATCATATGAGAAATACAAGGTTTTCTCCTACTCCAAGCTTCTTCCGGCATCATTGATGTAAGTGCACTTGTAGGACACCTATTTCTTGTGTATATTGCATTCACCACTGCTTCCGCCCAAAAGTCATGTCCACGGTGTTGTACATGAAGCATACTCCTTGCCATCTCCACAATGGTCTGATTTGCTCTTTCAGCAATTCCATTTTGCCGTGGAGTGTAAGGAGTGGAGGTTTGTCTTGTAATACCATACAACTTTAAGAAATCATTGAATTACTTTGACATATACTCACCTCCATTGTCTATACGTAGTACCTTGATTTTGCATTCACATTGCTTCTCTATAAGTGCCTTAAACTCCTTAAACCTAGTGAAACACTCACTCTTTGCTTTGAGGATGAAAATCCATACTTTCCTTGAAAATTCATCAATGAATGTGACAAAATACCTTACACCTCCTATTGATGGCATCTTCATAGGTCCACAAACATCAGAATGGACAATCTCCAATAACTTGGTTGCACGTGTTGCAACTCCACTTGGAAATGAGGTCCTTTGTTGTTTGCCTTGAATACAACCTTCATAAGCAAGTATCATAGCATTGTGGCTTATATGATCAAGATGTAAGCCACTTACCATGGATTGGAGCTCCTTCATGCTCTTGGCATTCAAATGACCAATGTGTCGATGCCAAATGCCAAACTTGTCTTGATCTTGAGGAAATTCAGCAAATACTGCCACTTCAACTCCATTCACCTTCTTACACTTGATGAAGTAGAGGTTGCCATCTCTAAAGCCCTTTGCAATATGATCTCCTTTCAATGTCTTCAAAAAATACCCATTCTTATCAAATTACACTTTACAACCATGTGAAACAAGTTTACTTACTGAGAGGAGGTTTTTCTTCATCTTTGGCATATGTAAGACGTCCTTCAATCTGATCCTCTTGGTTTGGCCTTTCACAACAATCTCTATAACAATGGAGCCTATTCTAATAGCTTGTATTATGCCATTGTCTCCCATGAGGATATTTGTTATTGGAATCTCTTCATAAGTGTCAAATGAATGCTTGTATGGAGTCATGTACTTGGTGGCACCAGAATCAATGATCCACTTAGACATGGCAGCCATGGAAGTGCCTTCACTTGCCATGAATGTATAATCATCACCTCTATATTCATCACGAGCATTGTTTGCACTTTCTCTATCTCCTTTCTTAGCCTTGTAGCAATTTCGAGCAAAGTGACCTAGTTTTCCACAAATGAAGCAAGTTCTCACATTGCCACGTTGGTTGGAATGACTCCTCTTGCCTTGCCTTGAAAAGAGAGCCGAATCCTCACTTTGGGGCTTTTTTTCTTTTCTCTTAGTCACTTCATGGACAAGTCTTGCCGTGACATAATCCATTGTGAGTTCTTTTACTTTGATGGATTCCAATGCCACAATGAGGTAGTTGTAGGACTCGGGAAGGTTCATAAGCAAGGTCATGACAATATCATTGTCTTCTAAAGGCTTATCAACAATAGCAAGTTAATTAGCAAGGACTTTTATCTTGTTGACATGAGCCATGAGGTCTTCACCTTCTTCCATCTTATAAGTGAAGAATTTCCTCCTTGTGAAGATGATATTGGACAAGTTTTTGCTCTCATATATGTTGCAAAGAGTCTTCCATGCTTCTGCTGGTCCTTTGCAAGAGATGATGTGAGAAAAGTTGGCTTCATCCAAATTAGTCGCAATCATGCCAAAAGCCTTCTTTTCTCGTCTTGTGAAGTCCTTCCTCTCTTTAGCATCAGCATGCGTGCTTGAAGCCTCTTCACTTTCATCTACAATGTTTCAAAGGTCCAAAGATGCCAATAAAAGCTCTATTTTGACCTTCCAATGGTAGAAATTTTCACCTCTAAACTTCTCAATAACTCTCAAACCTTCACCATCACTTGAAGCCATGTCTTAGAAGAGGTCTATCAAAAAATATCAAGAAAAAGAGTCTTTATGTGCTTAAAATCACTAAAACAATTTTGTACTAGCAAAATCTTAGAATGCCCTCTTGTGAACAAATGAATGTTTCTTCACTCCAAACACTTCCAAATCAATTTTTGAAGCTTCTAACAAGTATGTGAACTCCAATCAACATCACCATCTAATTCTTCCACTTATAAAACTCACTTTCTCACCACAAAATCAAAGATACTATCAAGGTCTTTGTATAAGGTCTTAATTACTCAATCCTAGGAGTTAAGAACCTTCAAACTCATGTAAGAGATCTATAAGGCCCAAATCAGAACTTCCACAAGTCAAAACACCAGATTAGATCATAGAATCTCTAACATCAGCAAACCTATTGAAAAAACACAATAAGCAAGACACAAATAGGTAGAAATCAGCAAGGTTAGACACAAGAGAAGTGTAGAATGAGATACCTCTCACTTCCAACACCTTTTACTTATAGGTAGAGGTTACATCCATTTTGGCTAACATTCATCATACTTTCATCCAACTAAACCCTAGAATCCTTAACCTAGCCGCCACTTCAAACCCTAGCTGCCACCTTGATAACTTTCCTTCATCCTTTTGCTGCCCTTTGACCATTAGCAACTTATCTAAGATAATATCTTTTACCTTCTAACTTATCCTCTACTTACTTTAACACTGAATTGCAGAGACATTAGTAAGATTGATGCTTGCTGCAGTATGTAGCTCCTACACTTCAAGGCCAAAAGAAGCATAAAAAATGAGTGTTGGGGTTGCACTCCCTACAGCTTCCAACTGGAGTACGCTGCTGGCTCACACATGGTGGCTATGTATCAGTTTTGTTTGTAACCAATGAGAAAGGCCCTGATGAATGTTCATATCCACTTCCGATGCTGTCTAGAACTCAGTTTATGGGATGTAGGCTTTTGAAGGTGGTGATGCAGATTTCATGAGTGGCCACAGCTGGTTTTGTTCTTTCCAAAGGAGTGAGATATCTCAGATCCCTCTCTGTGCCATTCCGATGCAAGGCTCTGAATGATCTGCACTCACATCTTGTAGATCATGGCGTGTTCACTGCACACATGGGAAATCGAGGTTGGTCATCTCCATAGGTCCGTGACTGGAGAGAGTCTTCATTCGCGAACACTCCACAATTCGCAAAAGAACTGCAGCAAGTCCTTATAGCGAAACAACAAGCAGAGAAATGCTGTGGAAATGAAAAATGTGGAGGAAGGTAAAGGCTCATCAACCTGGACAATGGTAAAGTTACTTTGTGTGTTTTGTTTTTGTTTTTGTTTTTCTGTCTACCGTGACGAACCGTGACGAAGGAGAGGTTGCGGGTCATTCATTGGAACCGCAGGACAATGAACGTTCATGTAACTTACTGCCATGGTGTGAGGCTTGTTCTAATCCCAAAGTCTGGGCCATGAGTGGCGCCTTCAAAGCAGCTCTGCCACAGCATGCTTTAGGGTTACATAAGGGAGGCCACCTTGCCGACAGTATCATTACCAGGGGCGTGGGAATTGAGCCTCCCCCCCCCACCACCACCTCTGAAGGACGTGCACTAGAAGAGCTGGATGTGCGTGCAGGCACTATCAGGCGAGAATACTATCGTCCGGACCAGATTACTCCCATGATTAAACTTGACTACCCTACGGATCTCATGCTAACGAGATTCTCATGTGCTGCAGGGTGCATCCTTCTATTCGGTTCTGATGTCAGTGGAATCATACCCCTTTTATCCTTTCTAGTAGATTACAGTGCTTCTAAGTCCCCACTCTCCTTGATGCTGTCTGGGATTGAGTTTCGGCGATAAACACCACTAGAGTCGTCAGCTTACACGAACACCAGGACGAGGTGCTGTTACATTCCATTCACTCCTTTACCCCCGGTAAACCACTAGGATGTTATACAGCGATATGTAAACGCAGGTGGTGGTGGTGACTCTTTGTGCATGATGCAAGGCGGGAGGTCATCGCAGAGTCAAGCTCGAAGATCCACGGATCATCCTCCGTCAGAAGACCACCAGATTGCTCTCCCTGACAAGGATACCTCGCGAGAAGGAATTCTGAGCCGCAGAAGTACGTGATTCTAAAGGTGTCCTACGTGCGAAGGGCAGATTCAGTGATGAATCACTCTTGAGCATTCCATGAATCTCCCTCGCCACCGAGATCTTCATCGGGGTGCGCAGCAACAAGGACAGAAGCCAGTGCCGAAAATCCCTCTCTTTTCCCTCTTTCTCAATCTCTCTCTTGCTTTCTCTCTCTCTCTCTCTCTCTCTCTCAATTCTCTGTCTCTGTTTGTCTGCATGTCTTGCTCGCAAAGGGTGCAAACGACGTTAGCTGCGTGGCATGAGAATCTTATGTCCAGCTAAGGCGCAGTAATCGAAGTCCAGGTCTGAGGCGCTGCAGGGCAGCCTTGCCGACGCCAGGCATCCCGCAAGCCTGCAACCCAATCCACAGCTCAGCCTCCCTTTCGCAAACTCCCGTGGGTGTCTGCCAGTTTTGTCTTTCTGTCTGTCTGTGTATCAATCTTTCTTTCTAACTGTCTATCTGTTCCATTCCCCCCCTCCCCATTCGTCTTTGCCCTTCTTTCGTTATTTCTTTCCTCCTTCCTTCCTTTGCTTGCTTTCTGGTCACACCACTGTCTTGCTTGCATGCTTTCTCCGTGGTTGTGCTGGGGTTGTGGCCCGTTCTCATGCTCTCCCTCTTGCTCTTTGATTCTCTCTCCGTCCCTCCCTCACTCTCTAGGTGAATGGATAGGTGAATGGATTACAATAGGAGTTGGGTTCCTTTGTTTAGAAATGAAATGCATGGGAAATGACCATATTAGTTAAAACAATTACAAAAATGAACTAAACCAAAAAGTTTTAAGAAATAGTTAGAAATGTCATAGAAATTATAGAAATCAAAAATAATATAAAAAGAAAAGTGTAAAACATGAATATTATTTAGTATATATGATATCATATATATATCTTATATAAATTTAGTATATATGATATCTATTTAATCTTATTTTATTATTTTTATATTATTTCATTATTTTATAACTATATTTAAGAAATTTTTTAATATAATTTTAGAATAAAACATTCTAATAGATTCTAAGAGCATCTTCTAATTTTCAAAGAAATAGTTAGATCTATTTGATATTCTTTTTCTTTCAAAAATATTTATTATTAATAAAAAATAAGTCTTTTATTTGAAAAATCATTGATTTAATTATTTTTTCTAAAATAGTGTACAATGAATGTTTAAAATATAGATCAATAAAAAATAGTATATATATATATATATATATAACTTATCATTTTTACTATACATTTTTGCTATTTCCACCATATGATCTAGTCTTATAACGCTTAAATCTATCATTGTTTGTTATTACTTTATTTTATTCCTAAGACCATATAATTTTTTTAATAACTTGACATCTATCATCAACATAAGTTCAATTATACATGTCAATCAACTCTAGATTTGTAAATTCTTTGTCAAATATTTTATTAACGATTTTTGTTTTTCTTGATTTACTCAATGAAGTTATTTAAACTTAATTAAACATAGAAGCATTTTTCAATGCACTAATCCAATGTACCAATGGACTCTATCAACATGAAGCATATAAATCTTCTTATTGCTAATGATTGTGCTATACAACACATACTTTGCTACATTGTCTTTTTTCATTTAATATAATAATAGGTTGTTCAAATGTAGTCAATGCCAAAATGACTTACTTTGAAGCAATATAATTATTTCTTAATATCAAAAATTTATTATCCTACCAATAAAATTGTGATCATAATTAAATAGCTCTTTTCTTATCATCAATGTAAATCAAATTGTTTTAAGTTTTTTTTCTAACTTTGAAGCAACAAAGAAATTTTGTGCAAATTAATATCTAAGACTATTCAAAGCTTAAGCTTGGAATGAGAATCAAGAAAGCTATGACATAAAAATTGGAATTTTTGCCTACTAATATGTCTTAAATGCTTGCAATGCATTGCTTCCATATATTTGACAACATCAAGTCCACCCTTTGCTTGCATGGCTTATTTCCTTTATTGTGGCATGTACATAAATTATAGCCAAAATAGTTGCAATTGCCACAATATTGCTTTTTCATTATTGCAAGCTAAAACACAAATTGCTCATATATTGTTAATGTCTTACTATCACAGATATCAACATTAGCATTAATAATTAAAAAAATAAGGGGCGTATAGTAGAAATAAATGTAAGTAAATTTAATAATATCTTGTAAAGAAGCTTTTTAGAAGTTATATAAGTACAAATTAAACTCTACAAGTATTTGTAGGTAATTAATAGATTGAAAACTAAGCCAATAAGTTAGACATGTATTACACATGTTGACTACTTATTTAACAAGTTGGATACATATTGCACATTTTGGCTATTTCTTATATAAGTTGGCTATGTGGCACAAATATAAAAAACTTTCCTTACAAGTTAAATATATATTCCATAAATTAGACATATATTGGATGATTTATAAAATGGTGCTACATAACTTTTAATTTAGATAGTATATATAGGGATAAGAGTGAAGCATTCCTCACTCTTGTCAACATATTTTTTGTATTCTTATCTTAGTTCAAGAATCTCTAATTTCTTTATATTTAATAATAGCCATTTTAGTTTTAATTAAATCAATTTAATTTTAATTAAATATTAAATATTAAATATTAAATTAATTATAGTTTATATAGTTGCTATACTTGCTAGAAAAGAAAATAAATTTTCAACTATTTCAAATCTTAATAGGCTTGTAAATATTCTTAAGAAATTATTATTTTATATTTCTAATATTAACCATAAAAAAATTATTCCTATACCTATAAAAGAAGTCAATAATAATATCTAATATCTATGCAAAGAAATTATGCAATTGAGAGAAGCAAGCAAATTAATCTTATAAATTAATCTTAAAAGTTTTACTATTAGAAATTTAGAGAAGGCAAAGATTAATATATTAGAGAAGTTTAATGGAACAAAATAAAAAATTCAAGGATTTCTATAACATGTTAAGCTCTAATTAAAATTATATCCTTTTTAATATCTTAATAGACTTACTCAAGTTGGATTTATCATTATATTTATATTTGGAAGTGCTTTCTTTTATTTTTCATCTTTTATGGAAAAGATTTATAATTTTTATATAATCTATATTCATTCTTAGAAGTATTAATGATCATATTTGGAAAGAGTGATTAAAAAAGATTAACAAAAATATAATTCTTATGTTTATAATATAGATCATAATCAACTACAATTTATGTTGTCGAATTCCAAAGACTTTCTTGCAATGTGGATTGAAAAAATAAAACCTTTATCAACCAATTTTTATATGGATTAAAAGATAAAAAAAGAAAAAATTAGTAACAATATTAAAAGCAAATTCATTAGAATAATTTATATTTCAAGCTATTGCATGCAACAATCAGTTCTTTGAAAGGCACCAAGAACAAATATTTGGTTAAAAATGAACATATCAAGTCATAACAATAACTCCTAAGTTTTCAAAAACTTATTCATTAAAATTGGAACTCATGCAAATTGGTGTTACATATTTTAAACCTCTCACCAATTAAGAAAAGACTTGACATTGTCAAAAAGATTTGTATTCATATTATAGAGAACCTATACACATTGCTCAATATTGTCTACAAAAATAACTCAACTACAAAATGATGAGCATGATTGTCAATGAAAAAAATGAGTTAAAAAATAGAATTGCCTAACTATAATAGAAACTATGTAACTTTAATCTTTTGAATTACCTAATAAAGTCCTATTTTCATTTCAAAACCTTACTTTGTTTTACAATAGAGGTTTCTTGAAGACCTAAAAATCACAAAGCTTTAAAGATTTTGTCTTACTAGATTCAAGATTCTTAGCTTGTTTTTTAAATAAAAACTTTGTTAAAATTTATAATATATTTTTAATAAAAAATTTATCAAATATACAAATAAAAAATAATAAATACCTCAATATACTCTTATATCACTTAAAATTATAGATATTTATTAAAACTATAATTGCTCTTGCCAAAGACAAGTAAATTTAAGATTCTTAAAACAAGACTAAGAACAATAAAGGTGTTGAAAAGAGTGAAAAACGCTTTACTCTTGCCTCAATATATATTATCTAATTAAGAACTATGTAGTAATATTCTATAGGACTTCCAATATGATCCAACTTGTGAATATATATTTAACTTCTAAAACAAGCTTTTTACATGTGTGCCACATAGCCAACTTATACCACAAGTTGCTAACATGTGTAATACATGGCCAATTTATTGGATAAATTTTCAACCTACCAATCAACTAAAAATACGTATAAAGTTAAATCCATGTCCAAGAAGATTCTAAGAAGCTTGTTTATAAGATATTATCAAATCTATATATATTTATCTTCTACTTAAGACTTCTTATCTAAGTAAATATATATATTTGTAATATTACTCCCATTTCTAGAAACAAGTTCTACAAGAAACAATGATCACATATTAAGAAAGTCCAAGATGTGATAAATTATATTTTCTACATATTCTAATCTTTATTTTTTTCAAAATTAGTTGATAGGTCCTCTTAGCCATTAAAAGTGTTCTATATCAAGGCATAAAGATTATCCTGATATTTGATCATTATTGATGTATTTGTAACTTTTTGCAAATAAAATATTTAAAATACTATTGGAAGTGGTTTCTACCTCCAATAATATTACCAAGCATTGAAAGCTTCTTCTAAAGTTGTGATAACAAATACATTATATCTCACCATCTATTCAAAAAAAAACATGTTATTCTTGAGGGTCTTTATTTTTGTTACATCATCTTAAAGGTTGTGACAATTTTAATATGTTGTCTATTAACTAAGAAAATAATAGCTCTAGAATTAAAGCTATTTATTTTTGATTTTCTATCTTTTTAGTACAACAAATATAAAAAAATCATAAACAAAGCTAGAAAATAGAATGTAATCTTAATTGAACCTTTTTACTTTTATAGCAAAGAATTGCTTAACTTTTCATCTTAATTTTGATGGATATCATTTATAAAAAGTATCAATCTTCTTTGCTACATTTATAAGATTCTTGATTGGCTTCTATGTATGTTTATTAATATTATATCTCTACCAATATGCAAGATATTTCAACCTATTTTGGAATTTCCTTAAGTCTAAAATTTCTTTGATTTCAAATTCATGAATATTATTTACTTCTATAAGATAATATAATAATACATACTTGCATAAAATGCTTGAGCTTCTTATAATCAATGTACATGATGAGTGGACTCAAAGCACCTTTTAAATTATAATATCATTCTTGAAATGAGTCTACAATTGAAAAAAGCTTTTTAATAAGAATCCTATAATTAATTTCAATTACTAATTTTTTTTAAAATGAAAATATATAAGATGAAGTTTTTTATTTATTTCTATTTTTAAAAATATTATACCTAAAAAAAATTTAATGCATCTATTTCTATAAAAATGTCTTAAAAAAGTTGATACTATATAAGATTGGTATAAAAATATAAGTTATTTTTAAAACTTCAAATATTGCTTTAGCTTCTTTATTCTATTTAAGTTTATCTTAATAAGTCAAACATGTAGATGGATCTATAATTTGACAAAAGTTCTTGGTAAAGATCTAATAATAATTGTCAAATTTTAAAAAATATTATATATTTCTTATTGTTCTTGAAATCTCCCCATCTATGATAATTTGAACTTTCTTAAGATCTATCATAAGGCCATTATTTGAAATAATGTATCTTAATAAATCAATTTGAATTATGTAAAATTATCACTTCTCTATATTGGGACATAGTTTTGTATTTTTAAATTTTTGTAATACACAACAAACATGAAATTAATACATTTTTCATATTCTTGGAGTACATTAAAATAT